TTGCTTTCTGAAGTGAAGTTTGAAAACTAGCAATACCATAAAATATAAGAAAGGCTAGCATTTCTAGGGCAACAGGACTCAAGGTAAAGAATAGACCTTCCAACCACAACGAAGCTGCAAGGCCCTCTCTCTCTCTCTCTCTCTCTCTCTCTCTCTCTCTCTCTCTCCTCTTTTTTCCTTGTAGTCCCTACAAATTGTCACTTCTTCTTTTGGACAGCTTTGTCACCTTGACATTGTCCTTGAGGTTCATAGATAGGTTACAGACCAACATGGTTTCCCTCCCATTCTCTAATTTCAAGATATTGTCTTTCCCAATATGTGCTTAGAACAATAACCCTTATGGGAAGTGCATATATTGTCATCTAGTTTTGAGGATAGGGCCGATAGGCCTCTACCATAAGCATGTATATATATATATATATATTAAAAAAATGTTACATCTAAATTTTTTCTGCTACAATAAAAAGCTCTCAGAAAATGTCACATCTCAGCTCGAATTGAAAACTTGAATCCGCGAAGTGAACGAACCCTATATATTTTCTCAGAAAATTGATTAGAGTTAAATAATTGATCAGTTAATGATTCCTTATAAGAGGAAAGTGTTTTGTATTTGTCATTCATTGTTCCATTATATCATTTTTTTATGCCTTCTAGGATAGTTTTTATTAGCATATGCTTTTGCCTTGCCATGCATTTGTAAATGGACCTATATGTGATTCCCATGACGCACCCACACCCATTCACATATATGTGTTTTACATACACACAAATAGTCGAAGTTAATATATTTAAGCTTCAGTAGGAGTTTCAGTACCTTTCACTTTTTATAGAATATGTTGTTAACTCAACCTCAATGGAGGGTGAAAAAATAATTTGAGAAGTTAGGCGTGCTTGTTTCACAATTTGAATCACAATTTAAATTTTTTTGTTATAATGTTTTTTTTACAAAAAATTAAATTCAACTTTTTCTGCTATAATATTTTCGCTCACATAAATTCGTTTTTCAACTCAAATTCTCAATTCGAACTCGCGAAACAAACAATCTAAACTGTGAGATCACATCACAATTATATCCAATAAAACAAATTACGTCAATTTCATTAAACTTTGGATTATTATCATTGATGCCTCCTGAACTTATGGATCATTCTCAGTTTACATCCTAAACTTTAAAAGCTCTTATTTGTCCCTGAACTTTGAATTGTTTCCACTTAAATCTTTTTATAGCAATTTCAGTTCAAAACAGATAGAAAAAAGAGAATAACACAGTCACGTTGTCATTTTGTCTTAACCCCCTCTTTTTTTGTTTGATTTTAACAGAAAATACAATAAAATGAGTTACGTGAGAACAATTCAAAGTTTAAAAGGACAAAGTTAGAGTTTTTAAAATTTAGAGGGAAAATTGAGAATGATTCTAAAGTTCACGGGCACCAGTGAGAATAATCCTTAAATTTTATAGGGAACTTCTATGCTAGAAAGTTAAAAACAATTCTTTTTCCTATTGATATCTTTACTGTCTTAGCTGTTAGATTAATTTTTTAACATCTTAAATTGTGAGTGCCCACATTAAAAATTAACGGTGCACGATATAGAATTATTTTTAGTGATAGACCAAATGGTTAAAAAGTTAATCCAAAGCTAAAACAAAAATTCCTACTAGTACAGAAAAAAACAATTTCTACCGTAAAAATTCTCAACTTTATAAAGATCTCACACTATATTTTGTAGGTAGGGAATTTCACATTCTGCCATAGAACTATACTTATTACAAAATAAAAAATGGAAAAAAAATCACTTTGCTATACTCTATCATTTAGACATTAAAATGATAGCCTAACGTTTTTAAAAAATATCATTCTAGCATATTTACATTTTTAAAATATTTTCCAATATTTATAAAAAGTTATTTCAGAATAAATTAATTAAAAGAGTATAAAAGACCTTTCATATATCAAAAAAGAACTCTCAGGAACTATAATAGCTTTTTTTGAAATATATATGTACCATTTTAATATTATAAAAAACACATTATATGAAAATGATTTTTTTATGAGATTTATGTGGTAGGACTTGAAAAAAAATAAATTAACAGTAAGTCTATATTTTTTAGCTATAAAATTTATATTAAAAATTATCTATTCTACACATTTTTTATTTTGATATGATTTTAATCAATTCTAGCCATCAGAAATATAAACTACTGATTTGATAAAAGATCTTTTTTTTTTCCAGGAGAAAAAAGAAAAGAGAAAGTAAGAGGCAAGGATGTTGCAGTGATGTATAAGAATAGGTCAATTGGGGGAGAGCTTAATAAATAAATAAAAAAATCCAGGGAAAAAGAAGTACTAGCTAGCCATACTAATTGTTGAGATATGACATGTGTGAGTTCTTGTACCCTTTTATGGATTCATAAGAACGCTTTTTTGAGCACAAAACAAAAGTGTGACTAAGCATCTTTGAATTGTCCCCAAAAATCCTACTGTTGAAGACAAACAATGATGTGCACCGATCGCCAGATAACATTAGGAGATGTACTTAGTTATGCTGTTATAAGTTGATTAGGACCATTTATTTCATGGACATAGGGGTCCCATGAATGAGACAAAGCAGCTCACATAAAAAATACTTTATTTCTCCACTAAAACCTCTCTACCAATACTAATCGTCTCTAACCATCAAATTAAAAATGTATGAAAAACAAACAGTTTTTAATACAGATCTAACACTTAAAAATTTATTTTTCCAATGTCAAGAAGAAAAATAAGATTACAAGCTAAAGAAAGGAAAATATTTTGTGCACTACTTGTTATCAATGTGTTGTCCTCAGATTTTTTTTTTTTTTTTAAAGGAAACAAAAAAAAAATCCCAAAAATAGTCTACAGGTAAAACCCACACGGAGGGAATCCCCGGTTTTTCATCAAGTGGTTATTTTGGTTACTTTCCCACAGGAATAAAAATATGTTGAGAACCAAAGATTTTGGGTATTGGGAAATTATTTATTAAAGGGTGTTTCTATTTTAAGCAGTAGATTTGATTAGATACTTTACCAAACTTGTAGATTTTTGCCCTTGGCCACAACCTAGTACCTGCCTCTAATATTTTCTTTCTTAATTGGAACTTGGAACTGAGGCATCTTTTAGTTTTGCAATCAAATCCAAGAGTTAATGTGAATTAAGACTATCCTTGTAGACAAATTCAAAAAAGGATAAAGAAATGGCTAAGATTGTTAATCCCATACCAACAACTTTAGACCACTTGATTATTGGTCTGAATTGACATTAGACTTTATTAATTGGCTTGAGATGAACTCCTCCACATGGGCAAATTTACGGATATAAGTTACTGTACAACTTTTTATTTAGGCCGTACATTTATATCAATTTTTAGTCAATAGACGATGGTCGAATACGGTATCTAAAATTTTCTAGAGCTTTTTATGAGGTAAGATCCGATAATAAAAAACAACTCAACTTTTCGGCAGTCTAGATCGTTTCAATTAACCATCCAATGGTTGTAACATGTACTTACAACTTAAAGAGAGACAATGTTTAAACTTCCTTGATCCTTTAAAGGGTAGGAGGCTATAGGGATATATTTAAAACTTAGATGATATAAGTAATGACATTCAAGTAGAGATATTTTACCAAAACTAATCTTTTCCTAAGAAAAAAAATATATGATATATATATATATATTTGAAACTAACTAAGATTATAACTAGTGCCTATTTCTTGTCTTTTCTTTTTTTTCTTTTTTTTCTTTTTTTTTTTTTTGTGTGTGGCAAAGAAGGGTAAATCAATTAGCAAGGCCTTTTTTTAATACCTTCCACAAGTCTTATCTATCTTTTTTACTTTTTTCTAAATCCATAGATCTCTTGAAATGGTTGGCAAGCTTGAGTTATACATATGAAATAGAGAAAAAAAAAAAAAAAAAACCAACAACAAACAAACAAAGAAAAAAAAAGTCAAGAAAGGCAATTGGCAAGTTCTTTGAAAAAAGAAAAAGAAAAATGAGGGGAAAGCAAGGCATTCCTTTAACTTTGGAATTAATCTCTCAATATGTAGTCAATAAGATTGAATTATACACCCCATCAGGACTGATTTTGCCAGACGGACCTACATACATGTTCCTTATTCCATAGAAGGTTTAAATGTTCCCTTTTTTTTTTTCCCCCGTAGTATTAAATAACACGCTATCATTGTGTACTAGTAAATTAAGTAATATAATAAAAAAGCAGAGAAAACAGAGGAATGCAAAAAAATTTTTATTTCTTTTTTATTTTTTTCCTGTTTTCCACAAATTTTGTTATACTCTGATGTTCAAACTACACATTATAATAATCAGAGGGTTCCAAAAAATGTGGGCTAGCTAAGCTTAGATTCTTTGAAAATTGACGGGATAGCTGCAAAGAACTACTCTCTTTTTTATCATTCAGAGATCAATTTTTATTGTCTGCTGCGAGGCTTTAATTATGCCTCTTATCGTCTTGTTAAATATAACTTGAACTATTCATCCTAGTTTCTTGAGTGAAAAAAGAAAGTTAAGCATAACATATATTAGTTGAAGTAACACACATAGAGTAGGTTAGTCTAAAATTAATTCTCTAACCATCATAGATAAAATTTATATTTGGTAAAAATTATAAAAAGTAATTTTTTAATTTTTTTTTTAAAAATTTAAAATTAAAATTAGAAACAGTTCAAAAATAATTTTAACTGATAATTATTTTAAAATACAATTAATAAAACATTTATAATACTTATAATACCCTTAAAATTAATACTTATATAATTATAATTTATTAAACATTTTTTTTTTTTTTTTTTCAGCGCAACTAACCATCATTTTTTTTTTTTTTTTTTCAGCACAACTAACCATCATTTTTTTTTTTTTTTTTAAATTTAGAGGCCTATCAAACTGACCTAATATATAGTATCAGATCCCATGATGCTTCTTCAATGCATATTCATTCATTCACTCATGACTGGCCATTTCTCGTGAAGCCTACCTGATAGCAATACAAGGAAAGGAATTTCCCTTTTCTCAAGCTCCAATCTCTCAGACCCACAAATCTTCTCTCTCTCTCTCTCTCTCTCTCTCTAGGACAGAGAAAAACACCTGGTCCGTGAAAAATCAGTACCAAAAAGCATTGTTTCTCTTTCTTCATCTTCTTCAACTTCTTCTTATAGCATTGTTTTGGTTTAGTCATTTTTCTCTGTTTGGGTCTTTGGAAAAATGTCTTGTTGATAAAGAAGGGTAATGGGCATTCCATACACAACCCATGTTCTAGAATGCACTACTTTTTGCACCTCATTTGTTTGCTTCCTCTTGTTTTTGTTCCTTTCTTGTGCTTTTAGCTCTCTTCGCTTCGTATTGAGCATCTGGGTTCTGTTCTAAATCCACTGATTGGTGTACTTCTTCTCTGTTCTCTGCAATCCTTGTTCCAAAAAAAAAAAAAAAGAAAAAAAAACCTTCTTTTGGAGTTTTAGATTTCTGGGCATTTTTTATTTTCCCTCTATGATAAAGAAAAGCAAAGGTTTTGCTAGAAGGAAAGCCTGTGATGAAAGAAGATGACTTTCTCTAAAAAAGTTATCTTCTTGAGAAAAATAGTAAGCAAGATTTGGTTCTGGAGTTAGAAAAAGGAGAAAAGGATCTTATTTATGGCTCTTTAATCCCTGCTTTCTGGGTCTTTTGCTGAAATTTATTTTGTTTCAGAAACATTAGAAGGCAAAACCAAGCAATATGGAGGTTTTGTTTTGGTTATGTCTTCTTTTGCTAGTTGGGTCTCTGTCAAAGTCCCAGTTTGTAGTTTTCCAGCTCCAAGATGATCAAAACACATTGTCAGCCATTAACAAGGAGCTTGCAGTGCCTGGATGGGGCACCAACAGCTCAGATTACTGCTCTTGGCCTGGAATATTCTGTGGCGCAAACCATTCGATGGTCGAAAAGCTCGATCTTTCCCACCGCGAACTCCGAGGTAATGTGACTCTTGTTTCTCAGCTCAAAGCCTTGAAGTGGCTAGACCTGTCTTACAATAACTTCCACGGTTCAATTCCTTCAGCTTTTGGAAACATGTCTGAGCTTGAGTTTCTTGATTTGTCTTTGAATAAGTTTGAGGGGCCAATACCATCTGAGTTGGGTGGTCTCAGAAACCTTAGGTCCTTGAACCTCTCAAATAACTTGCTTGTAGGAGAAATACCAGATGAACTTAAGGGCATAAAGAAGTTGCAAGAGTTTCAAATTTCTAGCAATAGGTTGAATGGCTCTATCCCTTTTTGGGTTGGGAATTTGACCAATCTTAGAGTTTTTACAGCCTATGAGAATTTTCTAGGCGGTAAAATCCCGGATAATTTAGGGGCAGTTTCTGAGCTGCAATTGCTGAATCTGCATTCTAACCAGCTTGAAGGGGTTATACCAAAGAGCATTTTTGCTTTGGGAAAGTTGGAGGTATTGATTCTCACCCAGAATAGGTTGAGTGGTGATGTGCCCGAAGAGATTGGGAACTGCACAGGTCTTTCTAGTATAAGAATTGGGAACAATGACCTTGTAGGCGCCATTCCCCGAGCGGTCGGGAACATTAGTAGCCTCACTTACTTTGAAGCAGACGACAACAATCTGTCTGGTGAGATTGTTGCCGAGTTTGCTCAGTGCACTAATCTGACCCTCCTGAATTTAGCCTCGAATGGGTTCACCGGGACGATTCCACGTGAGCTTGGACGGCTTATGAATCTGCAGGAGTTGATTCTTTCTGGCAACAGTCTGTTTGGAGAGATTCCAGAGTGGATTCTCGGGTGTAAGAATCTTAATAAGCTGGATCTAAGCAATAACAGAATCAATGGTTCTTTGCCAGCTGATATCTGTAACATGTCTAGATTACAGTACTTGCTGTTGGGTCAGAACTCAATTCGGGGAGAGATACCTCGTCAGATTGGAAGCTGCGGAAAACTGCTCGAGTTGCAAATGGGTAGCAACTATTTGACTGGCACTATCCCTCCTGAGATTGGTCACATTAAGAACTTGCAGATAGCCTTGAATTTGAGCTTCAATCATCTGCACGGGACACTTCCTGTCGAGTTAGGGAAACTTGACAAGCTGGTTTCTTTGGATGTCTCCAATAATCAGCTCACTGGAAATATCCCACCTGCATTGAAAGGAATGTTGAGCTTGATAGAGGTTAATTTTTCAAATAATCTGTTCACTGGACCAATACCGACTTTTGTGCCATTTCAAAAGAGCCTAAATTCAAGTTTTGTGGGGAATAAAGGACTCTGTGGAGAGCCTTTGAACTCTTTATGTGGAGACTCCTACAGTCCTGATCATGAAAGCCATCATAAGGTCTCCTACAGGATCATCCTGGCTGTTATTGGTTCTGGTTTGACGGTTTTTGCATCTGTTACCATAGTTGTTCTGCTGTTTATGATGAGGGAGAAGCAAGAAAGAACTGCCAAAGCTGCAGGGATTGAAGAAGATGTGGAAAATAACCGACCATCGATAATAGCAGGAAATGTTTTCGTTGAGAACCTAAGACAAGCAATAGATCTCGAGGCTGTTGTAAAGGCAACCATGAAGGATTCGAACAAGCTCATCAATGGTACCTTCAGCACAGTCTACAAGGCAATTATGCCATCCGGGATGATTCTGGCTGTCAAGAGATTGAAATCCATGGACAGAACAATCATTCACCACCAGCACAAGATGATCAGAGAGCTTGAAAGGCTGAGCAGGCTCTGCCATGATAATCTAGAGCGTCCAATTGGGTTTGTTATTTATGAAGATGTCGCTCTTTTGCTGCATCAACACTTGCCCAACGGGACACTAGCTCAGCTTCTTCACGAATCCACAAAGCAACCTGAGTATGAGCCTGATTGGCCGACAAGACTCTCCATTGCAATTGGAGTGGCAGAAGGGTTGTCTTTCCTCCATCACGTGGCGATTATCCATCTTGACATTTCCTCTGTCAATGTCCTTTTAGATGCCAACTTCAGGCCGTTGGTTTCTGAGATTGAGATATCAAAGCTTTTAGATCCATCGAAAGGCACTGCAAGTATAAGCGCAGTCGCAGGCTCTTTTGGCTATATTCCTCCAGGTAACCATTAATGCTCTTCTCTTGTTCCTATTACTATTATGATACAAAACAATTTCAATATTGCATTTTCATTTTCATGTTACTTATGTATGTGTTTTTACCATATGGTTCAGAGTATGCATACACTATGCAAGTTACAGCACCAGGAAATGTTTATAGCTATGGCGTCGTCTTGCTTGAGATTCTTACCACGCGGTTTCCGGTGGATGATGCCTTTGGAGAAGGGGTAGATTTGGTGAAGTGGGTTCATAGTGCACCTTCCAGAGGGGAAACCCCAGAGCAGATACTCGATGCGAGGCTCAGCACCGTTTCGTTTGGTTGGAGAAAAGAAATGCTTGCGGCTCTTAAGGTTGCATTGCTCTGCACCGACAGCACATCAGCTAAAAGGCCTAAAATGAAGCAGGTTGTGGAGATGCTTCAAGCAATAAAACAGAACTGATGAGAGGATCATAACCTAAACTTCTGAGTTGTAAAATCCCAATTGGATCAAAAAGCTCATCGCAAAAGAAGCGGTTTTCCACGCAAAATCTGTTCGTACCAGTTTGCATTCTTGGATTAAACATCCAGCTTGTTCTGTATTAAAAGCATTAATATGAATTGGAATAGAAATAGGTGGTGGGTTGATCCAAGGAGAGGCCTCCAGTGAGTGAGGAGCACACTGAGATCATGTTACATATTTCACAGTAATTATAAATTTATAATGTCTGTTTGTGGTTTTAGATTTTCCAATGTGGGGGTGCATGTTAAAATTATTTAAAAGCTTCTTCTTCCGTTTTTTTTTTTTTTTTTTTTTTTTTTTTTTTTTTTTTTTTTTTTAATGATGGTTATATTATACAACAAAAACTTCTGAATTTTGTCTGAGATTGTTTATTGTACTTACTTATAATGAATGCTACAAATACATTATCATGTAACAGTAGGCTGCAATGATTGAAAAATAAAACAGTAGGCTGCAGTGACTTCTGTGTGTGTGCGCGCGCATGCGTACTTTCAAAACATAAGTAGGAATGTTACAATGGGGACTGAGATGCTTGTAATGCTTGATTGCCTTTTTGATGTTACTTTCAGAACCACCTGTACATTCAAAACTTATATGGATTCTGTTTAGTGTTCTTTGTTCATTTTTTTAGTACTGTCTATGCCAATGGTGTGATTAGGCAATTTTTCTGAGGGCTTTTAGACCAGAACCAAATTTGTGCCTTTTGGGTCAGGAACAAAAGCACCCCATTGCAGAAATTGTAGCTAAGGTTGGTTTTTTGAAACTTAAAGAGGTTTCCAAAGATGGAAAAAAAAAGTTGGTTACTAAAAATCTTATCTATTAAATTGTGGAGTCTAATTATTGCCTTGCGAAGGGGAATTCATGTATGCCATGGAGTTTACCAAATCAGATGTAGCACATGCAGTGGGTGTTGTGAGTAGATATATGAGCAGTCTGGGTAAACAACGTTTGGAAGTAGTGAATTGGATTCTCAGATATTTGAGAGGTACTGGAGACTCAGTCTTGTGTTTCAAGAAGTCAGACTTGAGTTTACAGGGCTATGTAAATGCTTATATGGCTGGTCACTGGATATGTGTACACGCTGGATGGTAAGGCAATAAATTGCGTTTCTAAGTGGCGAAAGATAGCTGCTCTTTTTAGATTTTACTACTGAGGCAGAGTATGTCGTTATGACTGAAGCTAGTAAAAAGATGGTATGTGGCATTGTGATAGAGTGTTAGAATCCTATTTATCATGCTAGGACAAGGCATATAAAGGTTCGTTACCACTTCATAAGATCAACTTTGGAAGATGGAGTTTTAGAACTTGGAGAAGATTCAAAGAAGTTGGAATCCAATTGATATGTTGATGAAGAGTGTTTCTGCTGAGAAATTGGAACTTGTGCACAACATCAATTGGATTTCTCTCTTGAGGATTTGGTATCATTAGAGAGGTTAGAGAAAATCATCACCACCATATGATGAATTACTAGAGTGGTTGAAAGAGAGCGTAATCTCACATTGTGGCGAACATTTATAAATTTTGTGTGTTCATATTTGTTTGATTTATTTCTGTGGATTTATTGCTGTCTGTAATATAAAATGAGGACATCTAATTCTAGCATTTTCTAACATTTATAAATTTTGTGTGTTCATATTTTCAAACGCTCAGGATAGTTTAATTTACAAGGTATTGAAAATATCTCGAGAGTATTTTCCAAGCTTGTTATCCAAAATATGTTACTGTTTTTGACATCTTAAGAAATATGACGCATTCCTCTAAAAAGATGTTAATAGCCTCCTTCACCCTAACCATTGGGCTTTCAAGTTTGGTTTAGGTTGATTTAGGGAAAATAGAAAATTAGAAAAAATGACGAATAAAATACTGAACTTTTTAAACTGAAAAGATGATCAGTTTTTCTAAATTTTTTTTTAAAATTTTTAAATTCATATTTTGTACTTATGTTGAATTCAGTATGGTACTTGATATGTATTGTGAAGTTCTAAATCCTTCACGAAAGAGAGCAATAATATGAAATAAAGACAAAGAAGACATAAACATCCACTTTTGATCGATGTATAATTTTACTGGAGATTCACACAGTTAAGATGTACTGCAATTCTTTTTAATCTAATTCCTAAAACTGGCGCCTCTCAATTTTGACTAATTGAAATGAATAGAAAGGGGAAGAGATTACAGGCATTATTATTCACACACTATTAGGCCAATACAAGAGCTAAAATTAGGCCAATAAACTAAGCCATAGTTAGTTTATCGATTCATCTTTAAAATTTAAGTTATAAAAAAATGTATCAATAATAATTTTTATATTTTAACATTAAAATTGTGAATTTTCATAAGAATCTTCCAAAGAAAGAATATTCTAAGAAACCGTAATCTTTAAGGGAATACAGACAGCATGTCATGATCAGGGAAAAATCATGAAAATCCATCATGACACTCACACTATAAATAGATTATAAAACCCTTTGTTAAGGGGACTTCTTTTAATTGCTTTTACTGTTCCGGAGGCCACATGAAGATGATGTTTAGAGAGCCGCCGCACTCACAAGTCTCTCAGATTTTGATGGAATATCTTTCTCTATCTTTTCGCATTTAACTTTGACTAAATATGATTTTGAGGGTGGATTTTTTGTGATGATTATAAGGAAACAGAGTTGGTTGAATTTTGTTTCGCTACAAAAATACAAGAGCTAAAATTAGTATTTGTATATCGTGTCTTTTTGTATTTCGATTAAGCACATAATTATATATCTTCTATTCTAATTTCCTATCCCATTGATTGTCCCAATCAATAAATATTTGCCAAGTTTTGTAAGTTTAACCATATTAGGAACTAAATACTCCAAATTTTTAAACAACTAAATGGGTTGTTAAAAATAATTAAAGCAACAACTAAGAAAACAAGAAAATGTGACGGCAGCTCTGAACCCGTAAATGCACGATTGGTTTTTATGTTTATTGCTAAAAGATAGATGACGCAAAAACAATTGATTGTTGGTAAATTTGGCGGTAAAATAAGAAATGAGTAAAACTAAAGATAATATGGATTCAAAGTATTTTTTATGTAGAAAACCCTCAAAAGAGACGAGATAAAAATTACGAGACAAATGTAAAAAAATTTCACTATCAAAAATAGAGATTATAACATTCTCTCTAAATTACACGGAGAAGATAATAAGAACCACTCTCTCATGTAAATAGGAGAAGCACCTCACAAAAAAAAGAAAAATAGGAGAAGCTAAATTTCTCTCATACTATGAGAATTCTTTCTGAAGGATGAGAATATGTGCTTAAACCCTTCCTCCAAGCCCCCTTATATAAGTTTCAAAAACGAACTGTGGCCACGAAAATTTGTGGCTAAGAATTGGTCAATTTGTGGCCATTCATTTTATTTGGCCACCATTTAATTACTTGACTAAATTTAATCTACACAATTTTGTGGACTTGAAACATGGGTTTTGAGCTTTGCAAATTTTGAGCCTTTGGGTCTAAGCCTAATCCAACATCGATGAAACATGACAACTACAATTATGAAAAGACAAAGACTAAAGTCTCGTTTATTTCACTAATTCAAGTTTTTAATTTTAAATTTTTATAATTAAAAGCTCTTAAAAAATATCACATCTAACTTTTTCTACTACAATTAAAAATTTTAAAAAAATATCACATCTCAACTCGAATTAAAAATTATCCGCAAATAAGGCCTATGAGTCTAAAACTGACAAAAGGGAGCGACAGTAAACCTTGAAAAACCAAAAGCGACAAAAGAAAATTACATGATGTAACAAAACAATATAACCATGTAAACACGAGTACATGACGTTCTTAATAAACGAGACATGACAAAAAACCAGCAACTATCAGCAGTAAACGACAAGAAATCTTTTATCGACAACTAATAGAAAAAAAAAAAAAAAAAAAAACAACAAACGCCATTTTAAGTACATAGTACTACATTGGCCCAAAATGGGATCAAGAAATTTTATTATTTTACCGAGGTTATGAATATATTGAACATTTATTCATCGAGATTTTACTGTATGTTAAAGTACAAATTAGGATCATTATATTATGAGAAAATAAAAGTGTTGAAATTCCAAATTAGAAACAATCCAATTTGATGTTCTTTACTTTCGTTGATGCTACGTCAGCTTGCTTTCGGAGAAGTATATATTGCCGCCGTGTGGTCCACCACAATGACTTGCCTATAGACCCATTAAAGTTTAGTGACCATTTTTATGTGACAGAAGCTTAAGAGGCTGACCACAAACTTTAATAAAGAGCTATAAAGTTGGCAACGTTAACCATTTGTTTTCGGGGGGTTTTTTTAATATTTATCTTGACAATTGGGAGTCCAAATTCGAACAAATAAGACTCTTAACTTTAGAAATCGATTGCAAATGCAAATTATGATCTAATGGCTAATAAACGTAAATTAATGGATGAAAATGCCCCATTATTTTTGCATAAATGCAAGCGAAACTTTTCCTTAGTTGGCAAGTTAAATCTTGAACTATTTAATTTTTGTATTTGGTATCTAATTGTCATTAATTGACGATCATTATCTATGAAACTTAGGTTTCAACTTGCAAATGATGAATAAAAAAATTATCAAATTTAAGGTCCTAAATACCAAAATAAAAAATTTAGGCTTCAACTTGCAAATGATAAATAAGTCAAGGTGCTTTTGGGCAACTTACCGGAAAGAAGAAAGAACAGAATCATAGTGGAACGTGATAAGGTTTACTATAGCATTTTTCCACCAATGATTCACATTGCATTACACGATAACGCGCAAGAAAAGTAACAGGGAAAAAAGAACTTTTCCATTATCCAATAAAGTTGTGAGCCGTGAAAGCTATCACCCCTTTTTGTTGATACTTAGCTTTCTTTGAATCTTTCTCTGTTACTCTTCTTTGTTAACTCCTTAGCTTTTGTGAAATTATTTTTACAACAAAACTGAAGCCAAGAACATGGCTGCAGGACTGATGGGTGGAGCTCTTCTTTCTACTTCACTTCAAGTGCTATCTGAGAAGATTGCTTCCCCCGAGGTAGTAGATTATGTTACACCATGGTCGAGGGTCGACCACTCTCTCGAACGACAGACGCCAATGACTCCCCGTTGAGAATCGGTCGCTGGCGTCGAGGGAACAGTTGTAGCTAAAGTGCCCTTTACGTCGAGAAACCAAACGTGGCGAGACGCGTCGAGCACCATAACTCGACTTCTGGAGGCCATCACGTCGAGGCAGCACGTCCAGTCAAATCCATCAACGGTCTTGTCAACTCGGAGAAGAAAGTATCCAACTGCTGCTGCAGGAGTCAGGAAACCAGGGGGCAGATGAGAGGGATCAGCCGCCTTTCCTGGGGTTGCCATCATGAAAACGCACCTACCCTGCCCGTAAATCGAGGAATAGAAGATGGCTTCCTCCTTAGGAACATAGAAGGTGGCTTCCTCCTTGGGAACAGAGAAGGGATAATCGCATGTAAAGGCCTATAAATAGAGCCAAGAAAATGGATGAGAGGTGACGCACTATTTCATTACTCCAAGAGAGTTTGTAATCCCAGAAGATAGTAGTGTATTCACAAGTGGATTAGGCAAAAAGTTCTTGCCGAACCACTATAAATCTCCGTCTCATTTACATTATTTTCCAACTTTATTCCTTAGTTAAACCGTGAGAATTATTGAGAGTATCTTTGGAGAGTAAATCACGCGTTGTCAGAAAAACACCGTCAACAATTGGCGCTAGAAGGAGGACTTCAAAACCTAGAAATCTAACCCAGCTTTTTACAAAAAAGAAACAGCAACCATGGCTCCGAAGAACACTCACAGCACGACGGCTAATCAGAAAGATAAGGCTCCCGCCGCCGCGGGAACCTCAACGACCCCACCCCTGCCGTCTACTAGGAATCCCCCAGACCGTATTGACCAGCTCCAGAAGCAGGTTGAAACACTTGCTGCAGCCGTGGAGAGGATGACTACAGCCTTTGTCGAGCGGGATCAACGGTAAAACTCGATGCCCCCGTTGGAGGACGCGCCGATGAACCCGGTGAACGCCGCCGTTGGGAACCAAGTGATTGGTGACCAACGTGGTGACGCCGAGGGGGTCGGTGATAGTGGGGCCAACAGCCCCCGCCCAGCCAGGTCGAACAGATCTATGGGAAACCGATAGCGGTCGGCCAGGAGAGGGTTGCGGCCCAAGCTGTGAATAATCAGGGCGCGCCTCAGGAGAGGGTTACGACCTAAGTTGTGAATACCTAGGACGCGCCTCCTCAGCCCCGGGTCGATGCTAAAAGGAGGAACGCCGTCCCCGTGGAATCCTCGTCTGCGCGCGGAGGAGACCTCAGGGGAAAGTTAAATGGTCGGCGTGACCGAGACGCCCAGGGCGCCAGGGAGGACGAGCTAACAGCCAATAATAAAGCCATGGCCGAGAAGATGGCCAAGCTTGAAAAGCAAATAGGAAGCCGATTAAACAACTTCGAGCAAGTTGTGGGAAAGGTAGCCGAGGCGGTCAATGTTGACGCCAAGATGTACACATCCCACGACCACTCGTTCACAGAAAATATTATTCGGGTGCTGCTGTCAGATAAGTACAAACCACCTCCTATTCCGCTGTACGACGGAAGGAGTGATCCGGACGACCACTTGGAGGTCTACATAGGACATATGGTCCTACATGGATACCCCGAGGAGGTCATGTGCTGAGCATTCAGGAATCACCTTTCCGATTCCGCCAGGAGATGGTTCAGATCCTTGAAACCAAACTCCATCACCAGTTGGGATGACTTGAAGAACGCCTTCCTGACTCAGTTCATATGTGTCAAAAAGTACATCCCACCTAAACAAAACCTGTCGAGGGTGTACCAGGGGCCTAATGAGTCCCTAAAAGACTGGATAGCCCGGTTCGGGGAACATGTCACCGCCACTGAGGGAATATCCGATGAGGTAGCCCTGATGGGGGCACTGTCGAGCATGAAGAAGGATATCCCCTACAACATAGACCTCGACCGGAGACCACCCCATACCTACCAGGAATTTTTGACAAGGGCACAGGGATTCATCAACGCCGATGAGGCTAAGAAGGCCTTGAAAAGCAAGGTAGTAGCCCCTGTCAAGGAAGAGGTAGGGCAGACGAACAATCAGAACAACGGTAAGAAGCGCCGAGGTCACCCTCAGGTGCAAGCTGAGCAGAGGTACAACACGGCTCCAAGCAACAGGGGCGGCAACGCCTCAATGAGCCAAGGGGAAAAAAAGTGACCAAAGTTGCAAAGGTACGACGTCTATACCCCATTGACTATGGGGATCGAGGACGTCTATCACGAGATCAGTCACCTCTAGGTCCTGCGTTGACCACCGCCGCTGAAGTCTGACCCCGCGTGGAGAAATCAAAATAAGTATTGTCGATTTCACGGCGAAAGTGGGCACACTACGGCCGAATGCTATGACCTGAGGGACGAGGTCGAGAGATTGATCCGAGAAGGGAGACTCGGTGAGTACCGAGCCGACCGTCAAAACAACAACAACTGACGCAACAATGACCGACGGGAAGAGCAGAGGCACGACAATCTGCCCGAACCCGTCGGCGTTACAAGAATGATCTTTGGGGGACCATTCCTCGGCGGCACCTCTCGTTGCGCACAGAAGGATTACGCGCGAGAAGCAAAGGAAAAGTTCAGCCGGAGGGTCATGAACGTCTTCGGACACGAGGCCAAGGCAATGCGATACGAGGAGGCCGAGATCACGTTCTTGGAGGCCGATGCGAGTGGGGTGCATTTCCCCCAGAGTGACGCTTTAGTCGTCGAGGCCATGATCGGTAACCATACGGTTTGCCGCATCCTGGTCGACAATGGCAGTTCGGTGGACATCTTGTACTCTGACTGCCTTGACAAGATGGGAATCCCCCGCTCAAGGCTGCAAAATAGCGCACAGCCTCTATATGGCTTCACCAGGGACAGTGTCATCCTAGAAGGGGCAATAGAGCTGCCCATGACCATTGGAGACCGACCACACACCTCGACTGTCATGTCGAAGTTCCTGGTGGTGAAGAGAGGCGGCCAATACAACGCGGTCATAGGGCGCCCAACGTTGAGGGCACTGAAGGCGGTCACATCCATCTACCACCAGATGATGAAGTTTCTGACTCCCAGTGGGATCAGAAGAGTCCGCGGAAACCAACACGAGTCAAGGCTCACGTACTCGGAGACGGTCTGCCACTATGCTGAGCCGACACAGGTACGGAGAGAGCTGAGGATGGTGAAGACCAGGACAGAAGGATTCGATTTAGATCTAAGGCTCCCAGGCGAAGAGACCGGAACGGGACCGGTCGAATAAGTGATCGAGGTCTCCATCGATGAACGAGAGCTGACGAGAACGTTGAAGGTGGGCTCGGAGCTGGGAACGCAGGCCCGCGAAGAACTAGTCGAGTTTATCAGAGGCAGCCTCGACGTGTTCGCTTCGACTCACGAAGATATGGAAGCGATAAGCCCTGATATCATGTGCCATAGGCTGAACATCGACGAAAAGTGTCCACCTAAGAGGCAGAAACGTCGACCCATGAATGCTGAGCGATACGAGGCCCTACGAGAAGAGGTTGACAAACTGATTAGAAATAACTTCATCCGGGAAGTCTTATACCCCGAATAGGAGTCGAATCCCGTGTTGGTGCGGAAACCCAACGGGGAGTGGCAAACATGCGTCGACTTCATCTACCTGAACAAAGCATGCCCCAAGGACAACTTCCCACTACCCAGAATCGATTAGCTGGTTGACGCTACAGCGGGACACGAACTACTGAGCTTTATGGACGCGTACTCCGGGTACAACCAGATACCAATGCTCGACCGCGACGAGGAGCACACGACGTTTGTCACCAACAGAGGCCTCTATTGTTACAAAGTAATGCCCTTCGGTCTAAAAAACGCGGGAGCAACTTATCAACACCTCATCAATAAAATGTTCGCGGGACAAATAGGAAAATCAATGGAGGTATACGTGGACGATATGTTGGTGAAGAGCAGAAAAATCGATGACTATGTGGAGGAACTCAGGAGAATGTTCGGCATCCTCAGAACGTACAAAATGAAGTTAAATCTCCGCAAGTGTGCATTCGGCGTCGCATCAGGAAAATTCTTGGGTTTCATAGTGAGCAGTCGAGGAATTGAGGCCAATCCAGAAAAGATACAGGCCCTCATCGACATGAAATCACCAAGGAAGCCTAGGGAGGTCCAGAAGCTGACAAGCTGTGTGGCTGCACTTAACAGGTTTATCTCAAAATCTACGGATAAGTGTGTACCATTCTTTGATACCCTGAGAGGAAGCAAGCCATTCCAATGGACAGAGGAGTGCAAACATGCATTCCAACAATTGAAGGAACACCTTGGGGAATCGCCTCTGTTGTCTAAACCGGTGACCGGAGAGGTGCTGAGCCTGTATCTGGCGGTCTCAAAACACGCCGTTAGCTCGGTGGTGATCCGCGAAGAGAAGAAGGTGCACTTGTCGGTGTATTACACTAGCAAGTGCCTCCTCGACGCGGAGACGAGGTATCCCTAGATGGAAAAGCTCGCCCTCGCACTAGTTGTGACAGCGAGGAAGTTGCGCCACTACTTCCAGGCCCATAGCATTCAGGTTTTGACCAACCATCTTCTCAGGCAGGTGCTAAAAAAGCCCGACACTTCTAGTCGACTCTTAAAATGGTCTATAGAGCTCAGCCAATTTGATATCGACTACAAATCGTGAACTGCCATCAAGGACCAAGCCCTGGCAGAGTTCGCGGTGTTGCCGGACGAAGCCGAAGAAGCTAATGCACCACCACGATGGAAGCTCTATGTCGACGGGAGCTCCAATGACAACGGTAGTGGAGCAGGACTGGTGTTGCACACACCAGAGGGACGCAAGATCACTTCGGCCATCAGGTTTGAATTTCCCGCGTCCAATAACAAAGCCGAATACGAGGCACTGCTGGCCGGACTCTGACTGGCAGAGCACTTAAAAGTAGAGGGCATAGATATCTTCAGTGATTCACAGCTGATTGTGAATCAAGTCAAGGGCCAGTACCAGACCCGGGACGAGAAAATGGCCGCGTATCTAAAGAAGGTCAAGGAGGCCTTGGGGAAATTCACGGCCTATGATGTACAGCAAGTGCCGAGAGCAGAGAATAGCAATGCCGACGATCTTGCCAAGTTGGTGACGTAGAAAGATGCGGAACACTTGAACTTAGTACCCGTGGAAATCCTAAAAGTCCCAACCACTGAGAAGTGGCCTGAGGTTGTGCCAGTGGACTACCAGCCAAACTGGATAGACCCAATAATCAGGTATTTGGTCGACGGCGAACTCCCTGAAGACAAGCAGCAGGCAAAAAAGTTGAGGTATTAGGCGTCGAGATATACGTTGCACGGCTATGTTCTTTATCGAAGGGGGTACCCGACGCCATTACTCAGGTGCCTCGGCAAAGAATAGGCGAGGAGGGCGCTCTCGGAAGTGCACGACGGTGTATGCAGAAACCACGCAGGAAGGCAGTCCTTAGCCTACAAAATACTACGGCAGGGGTACTATTGGCCTAGCCTCAGAAAGGATATGGCCGAGTATGCAAAAAGGTGTGAAAGCTGCCAAAGGTACGCCCCCATTCCTCGACTGCATTCTGAGGATTTAACGTTAATAGTCTCCCCCTGGCCTTTTGCTAAGTGGGGGATCGACTTAATTATTCCACTGCATAAAACCCCGGGGGGATACAAGTTCGCTATTGTGGCCATCGACTACTTTACCAAGTCGGTGGAGGCCGAGCCACTCACGACTATCTCAGAGGAGAAATGTACTAACTTCATATGGAACAACATAGTTTGCAGGTTTGGTGTACTGCATTCTCTCGTGTCTGACAACGGGAGACAGTTCAACAACGACAACACCAACCAATTTTGTGAGCTACTGGGGATCCACAAGAATTTTTCCTCTGTTGTATACCCATAGTCCAACGGGCAGGTCGAGGCAGTCAATAAGATAATAAAAGTCACGCTCAAACAACGGCTCGACAGCTATAAGGGGAAATGGGCAGACGAGCTGCCAAAAGTCCTATGGGCCTACAGGACGACCAGCAGGACCACCACAGGAGAAACTCCCTTCTCAATGGCCTACAGAGCCGAAGCAGTCCTCCCTGTCAAGGCAGGAATGAGAACCTGGAGCTCGACTTTATGGAAGAAAGACGCACGGAGGCGCAGCTAAGGCTCGCCGCGTACCAAGCTAGAACTGCTAGGTACTACAACAAAAAAGTCAAGCGGAAGCGCTTTGGGGTTGGAGATCTGGTCATGCGGGTGTTAACCCCAAACACCAAGCCCAAGAACTCTGGTGCCTTGGGGCCGACTTGGGAAGGACCCTACAGAATAAAGGAAGTTGTGGCCAACGGGTCGTATCGACTGGCAGAGCTTGATGGTCGAGACCTCAAGCCCACTTGGAATGCAGACCAGCTGAAGGTCTACTACCAATGATTGCGAGGCACGTCGACCAAAAAGGCTAAGTACTTTTTGCATGTTCTCTATTATTGTGAAGAACATCGACTTGTAAATCCTACATAAATAGAGGTAAATTGTATTGTCTACTTAGCCAACTTTGTTTTGCGTCATGACTGATTCTCATATGGGCTCACCCATCTACTGCCAACGTCGATACGTTGACCAACTAAAAATATCGATACGTCGACCAAAACGTCGGTACGTCGACCAAAATGTCGATACATCGACTAAACGCTGTCGATACGTCGACCACGGTGTGTCAAAAACAAGTCCAAGACTTTGTTTTTGATGAGGGGGTAATAGGGCCCCCTAAAACCTACAAAGTAGGTGAACTCCGGCCCAACCGTACTTAAAGTAATAAATAAATAGAAATTGTCTACACTTAATATCTACCATCTACGTCGAGGCATTTACAATGAAACGCCAAAACCGAGTTCTAAAACTTAGCTGTGGCGAGGGGGGTAGTAAGGCCAACAATGAGGCCCCCCACAAAAAAAAAAAAAAAACTTGCAAAGGTGGTCGAGCCAGAGCTCAACCACACTTAGCGAAAAAGCATCCACACACAGAATGAGCAAAATAGGCATGAATATATATAAAAAAAGAAATAAAAATACTTGTCTCGACCTTATGGTCGTTACAAACCACTAAATAAATAATGTCTTGGCCTCACAGCCCTTAAAAAAAAGAAAACACGAGAAACATAGATGGTCTTTTCACTGCTCAGCCCCATCCCCCGATGCCTTCTCGCCACCTCCTCCCAGCGCCGACTCGCCGCCATCTCCTGGTGCCTGCTCGACGTCTCCGGGCGCTTGCTCAGCATCCTCCTGTATCTGGTCAACGCTCCCAGCCTCCGGGTCGAGCTCGACCACATCCACCTCCTCGCTGTCAGACTCGTCGAGGAAGGACAGGTCGACATCTGAGTGTTTCCTTCAGAAGCGGTCGAGGATCTAGTCGCCAGCGGATGTCATCAAGGACAATTGGAGCTCGTCAAACTCAGCGGAGGCCTTGTAAGCCTCAAGTCGCTGAGTAACGAGACCCTCAAAATCCCCTGAATCCTTGAATTGCTCCACGTGGGTGTCGACCAAACGCTTGAATTCTGGGGACGACTTGAAGGCCTCCAGGCGCGAGTCGATGGAGCGGATATACGTTTTGGACCTCAGGAACTCCTCTAGCACCTCCCTCTTCTTCTGCTCGAAGACGAGAGACGCAAGGTATTTCTGGACTGCCAAGGAGCACCTCGCCAGGAAGCTCTTCTCCTTCTCCTTCTCCATAATCTCTTCCAGGCACTGGACTTTGGCCTTTTCGGCATCCAGGCTAAAGGAGAGCTCATCCCGAGTAGTGCGCAAAGCTTTAACCTCCTCAGCTCAAGTCCTCGGCGCCGTGTTCTACTCAAGCTGAGACTCTAACTCCACGTAGTTATGGAGTGCAATCTCAAGAGCCTGAAACACCCAAAGAAGAAAATAAGTTCTAAGGCATTAAAACATGGCACTCAACTGGTAGATGTCGAGGGGTGACAAGCCAAGCTTACCGAGACTAGGCGCGTCACGGTCAAACGCTGACGTTCCAGGATGATATTCCCGGCATAGAGGCTCTGGGAATCTGGGTGGAAGTATGTATATATGGCCTGAAGTGGAAGGCTGAAGCGGGGAGGAAGCCGCAAAGCAGCATCGAGATACTGAGGGACCACATCTGCGACAGAGAAGTCGGGGTCATTAATCTTCGACCCCGGCATCACCACAGGATCCCCCGGTACGGACGCCGTGACACTTTTCCCCCTATCTGAGCGTCGAGAAGGTTGGGATGAGGATCCCTCGACGACAGTAGGAGCCTGGGACACCTCGACCCTTGCCCTCTTGACGGAGGGCTCGACCACAAACATCCCCCGAACTGGAGTTTCAGTGATGCTAGGGGATAGGGAGACTTGGACGCGTGGCTGGCTCGGCGGCGTAGAGGGGATCTCGCCCCTTCTTCTTCTTCTACTTCCCGGGATGGTATACCTCATTTCTGACGGTGTGGCTACAAAAAAAAGGGAGAGGCCAAATCAAGGACTACTCGCCCATTTTTCCTGGCTCTTGCTTAAAAGATGAAGGGAAGAAAAACCCAACCCACCGCTAAAAAGATCAATAGGAGGAACAACTAGGG